CATAACTTTCCTAAATTTCACTGGACCATTGAGGGATTTCACATTCCAACTCACACAGTTAACTGGGTGACTGTTGAGGAACCTGTTAATATTAGAACTGCTCATGTATGGTCAATCGGACTGTTGTGCAATATCCACAAACCATCACAAAAAAATAACCTGAAAAAGACATTCTCAAAACAAATAGATCCGGTATAGTCCCACCCCTTTCTCCTAAAAAAAAACGGAGAACCCAACAAACAAAAAATCCACACATTTGTGCTTATACTGGGGGGCTTAACTCCCTGTCTGGACTCCCGCCACAACTAAATAACAATAACAAAAAAAAAGGGGTTCCCTTACTTTAAAATATTATTACTGYTTATGCTCCTTGCAGCACTGATAAATAAATCACTAACCAAGATCTGGATCCCCCTGTGAAACTCTCGAACAAAGAACAAAAAGAGGAATGTYGTCCCTGAGAATAATGTTTAAAATTAAACAAGGTATAATGCGGGACATAAAGTTGAAAGGTTCATTACAACCTGACAGTCATAATGGATCAATGAAGATTGGACCTGCGGTCAACGCCGGTCCTCGCTGTCCATCGCCGAGATGATTCTCTTTTTAACGTAGTCCTTTGGTTTATTGGCATCCAGGAACTCCTTGTTTTCCTCCCCATGAGAGATGCGGAGCCGTGCAGGAAAAAGCAGGCCATAGCGAACATCACGTCGGTTGCGAAGGAGCCTCCTCACCTCCGTAAACGCCGCTCGAGCCTTGGCCACAGCTGCCGTGTAGTCAGATGTGATGATGACCGGTGATTCTTTAAAACGAAGAGGACCGCGACTCCGAGCCCGACGTAGTATTTCCACACATTCTTGATAATAGTGCAGCTTAGCACTATTAGCTTATTGCCTACCTGTTTCCACCTGGAGAGCGATGGGCTCGGTCAACCAGTGGCTCTTTATCCATCTGTAGAACCTCTGCTAGCAGTTTAGCCACTGSTGWAKTGGAGCTGGATTCTGGCGTYTCWGGAACTCCAATAATCTGCACATTGCACCTTCTCATGCGCCCTTCCATATCGTCACACTTCCTTTTGAGCCCACCGACTTCTTCTTTCAGTTCCAACACGGTGGCGCGCAGAGAAACAACCTCGTCAGACCAGGTTGACAARCCATCCTCCACTTCTTTAACGCTCTGTTTAACGTGATCCAGATCTGCGCGCAGTAGCATCGTGCCATTAGCCACCTCAGCTCTCACCGCTTGTAGCTCCCCTTTAATAAGAGTGAACTCTTCAGCCAAAGCCGCTTTTATTTCGGATTTGATCACAGATGAGAGATCGGTTTTTATAGCGGCAAGAATGTCAGACTTCAAGGGGAGTGTGTCCGCCTCGCTGCGGGAGGGAGAGGAGGGCGTCAAAGGTCCGGCTTTAGCTGCAGTTAGCTCCGAGGCGGCGTCTGGTCTAACAGCCGTCGAGCTAGAATGTTTACCTTTCCTCRAGTTTGTCGCCATTCTTCTATTCTTCCAGACAAGAATCACTCAGGGATCGAGTCCGAACGGACCAAATGTTTAAAAAAAGCAAGGACATTTAGTATAGAACCACAAACTGAACAAGTCAGAGTGGGAGCCCACGCGACACACGTCTCACTCCTCCGCCATCTTGCCTCGCCTTCGTGTTTTGTGTAATCTAAAGAGGTTTTGTTTCTTTCCAGTGTCAGAGAGGGGCCTGCACGGTGCCACCACCACAAGAGCATGTGGACCAAGCCTTTATTCCTGAAAAAATCAGCAGGACAGAGGTGCGTGGTCTTGTTTTTGTAATTTTCCTTTCGCYGAAGGATTATGTTTCAAAAGTCACTTTAAGATTTGAGGCTTTTAACCCTGCTTTGAATGTGCAGCAAAGCAGAAAATCAAAAGATGAAGGAGAGCCTGCATTTGTTTTTGAAAGGTGGTTATTAAGTGGAATTTGTTTTCATGTAGCTGGATCTGCTTTATGAGGAAGGTTTGTACACGGTGGTCAACAGGGTCGGCGTGCCTCCTCCAGAACACGTGAAAGGCGATGATGAGCTGTTTGCCTACCTGCTGAAGGTATCCCTCTCTCTGCCGCGTAATAATCATGAACAGAACAGACTGTATTTCTAGAGCCCCATTAAATCCCAGCCAGTAACACTGATGGTTGTTTCCCAGAGAGTGTTATTTATCGTGTGGAGGCTGTTAAAATCTGAGCAGATGCTCTTGGCTCAAAACTGATTAAACATCAAAGCCCAGTCACACTGTGTACTGATATTCAGCTGTGATTATGCCCTGCTCAGGATTGTAGCCTCTCCTTTGTCTGGAGTGGGAGTTTTTTTTTTCTATGTTCTTAACAGCTCAGGTACAAGCAAGGACACAGAATAAAATACTTTTAAATAGTGCTTTTGATGTTTTTTTTCTGGTCTGAGGAGCACAGTTTCATGTATTTTGCTATTTATTACATTAAATATATGTATATTTTTTTTACTGTCTGTCTTTCCGAGGTGTTTGATATGGGTGAGGAGGAACATGACATTGTTCTTCAAAAAGTTCAGGAAGCAAAGGTGAGAGTTTGTTCACAAAACTTTGCATGTAGAATTTCACTAAAAATGTAAATGGCACTGTTAAAGGGGAAAATGCTCACAAACTATGAACACAATGTTATTTTTACACAAGCATAATTCCAAAAAAAAAAAGAAGAAGATGAGATGTTGGCAAAAATTTAAAGAAAAACTATACATAAAGCAAATCATACCATATTTTTGATGCCTTTGATTTTAAGCCCCTCATGTGATCCCTAAATGCTGGTTAAAGCTCTATCATGCAGAGAAGAAATCATCCATGAATCTTCTCTGGGTCAAAGTTCATTTAAAATGAACTGAAGGTGGGAGGCTGTTTTATGGTCAAATGAACCAATGTTCTTTTTTGGAAACAGCGTCCTCAGTACTAAGGAAAAGAGGAACTGTCTGGCCTGTAATCCATGCACAGTTCAAATTTCTGCCTCTCTGATGGTATGGGGCTGCATTAGTGCTTATGCGTGAGTTGCTTTCACATCTGGCAAAGCAGTGTTTATCATGTTTTATTGTGATTAAAATATATTTGTTCAAGATTTGCAAATCATTGTATTCCATTTTTATTCATGGCCCAACTATTTCAGAATTGGAGTTGTAGATTTATTGCACAAGATATTTCTTATTTTAACATTTAAGGAGAACATGTAATGCTGACATTTCAACCTCGCTTCAGAGAGAAATGAGAAAAATAACTTCTCTGTTGTTTTATATTATGTTTTTGTTTTTTGGTGCTTTTTTGTGCAGTTTTTGTATCTTTTGACTTTCAGAATGAAAACATTACTTACTCAGTTGGAGTGTGCTGGTTTCTGTGAAGATGTTTTGTGTGAAAAATGGAGACCTTCATCATCCAAAAACCTCTTTTTTTGTTTGCTTTTACTTGACTTCCTGGGCCTTTTTCAATAATAACTGTGAAGAACTATGAGCCCTTTTGATTTTTTTTTACCTTGAGACTTGCACACGAAATCGATTTAATAAATTCTTACTGTACAGTACATTCTGATATTGTGTTAAATGGAGTTAAAAGAGAATAAAAGCTGCTAGAGTGCATTAGAAGTATTTATTTTTCTGCCATTAACTGTTACGTTTAAAAGATATTTGTTTTCCACAGAGAGCCAGCTTTTCTTTGAGAGTCTCGGTCATGAAAGCAAAGAACCTGATGGCCAAGGATGCAAATGGTAAGTYCTTTTCAAGCTTAAATCAACTCTGAAAAGAGATGTTTCTTTAATTAGTTACCATTTATTTAACCGGGCGAATCCTATCGAGATAACAGATCTCTTTTTCAARCAGTTTCTGGCTCTGAAGGCAGCTTAGACATGTGTGTTTTTAGACTATAAGAAAAAACTGGAGTAGCTATCCAGAGAAAACCCAAACAAACAGGAAGCTTGAACCAAGGACCTTCTTTCTGTGAGGCAACAGTGTTAACCAATTAACCACAATGCTGCCAAATAAGTTTTACACAACAATAAAATCAAACTGAAAAGTATTCRACATGATTTACTTCCCATCAACGAACAGTTTGTAGCACAACTCAAAAGCTCAAAACGTGCAGCTTTAAGGAAAACATTAAACCGTCATGGTTCACGTATTGTGTCGACAGGTTACAGCGACCCCTACTGCATGCTGGGAATCCTGGTGGGCCAGAGCCCTCGGGAGACCGAGGAGAAGAAAGAGAGGAAGTTTAGCTTTAGGAAGAGGAGGGAGAAGCTGGAGAAACGCTCCAGCACCAAAGAGGTGCTGCCTGCCAGGTGTATCCAGGTGACCGAAGTCAAACCGGAGACTCTGAACCCGGTGTGGGACGAGCACTTTGTGTTGTGAGTATGAGACAGACTTTTGACATTTTCTAAAGGAACCACGCAGGATGATGTGCGTCATGTACATGGATTTTGTTTAGTTTTGTTTTTCACACTAAAGCTGTTAGTGATGTGACCAGTGCTGCGCGTTGGCATTCCTGTGAAAGTAGGACTAATCTGTTTTTTGTCAACATTAGTCATGAATACGATCGACAGTCAGAGATTTTCCTGTTTCGTCTTCTGTTTTTCAGTGAAATAGATGATGTCCACAACGACCTGTTGCATTTAGACATATGGTAAGTTTGGAGCATAAAAACCCACTTTGACACWATTTGAATAATTAATTTGAGAAAATTGGTCAGAGCTGACTCAGTGAAAGAAGAAATGATTTTTCCAGTTCTGCTTATTGGTGATCAAAGAAAACTGAAAGCTGTACTAATATCTGAGGTCTGTTCTTTTCCACAGGGATCATGATGATGATGTATCTGTTGCAGAGGCCTGCAAAAAGCTCAATGAAGTCAGTGGTCTACGAGGAATGGGCAGGTCAGACCTCACTATTTATTTACAGTGCATTATCACACAGTAAATGCCTCYGAATCCTGATTTGCTCAAACCTATTTTAGCAGTTTTACTAGTGCCTTTGATGTGTGGCTATGCAACAGGTTCTGATTTTGYGCACAACTAAAGGCGTAATTTGTTTAGTAATTAATTCACCCAGTTGTGGCAGGAAAGAGATGACTCATCATCAAACATGTCATTGAAATGGCCTCTTTTATGCGAATAAAGCCTSAAGTGGCAATTAATGAATCAAGAGGCCTTTGTGTGCATGTGCTGAAAAAAGCTGCTTGTTGACTCCGTGGGATCTTTCTGAGTTTTGTCCTTTTTAAAGACACGTGGAGGAAATCTTGGTGCTCGGAAAGCTGTGCAAACAGAAAACAGAGCCTGATAAATAGCAGACATATTTAACAGGAAACGGAGAATGCCAATCAAAGCCGAGGGACCAAAGTTTCATCATCCTGTGGTGAAAACTGAGCGGTTATCAACTGAAGAAAAAACACCCTGTTTTTTAAGGAAAATAACTCCAGGCATGATTTTTTTCAATGCATCTTTAGCGATCTAATTGCAGTTGACTACATATTTGAACATAAAAGGTTGTTCATAGACCACCAGGTGATCTGGTCTCCTTTTGTCTGCAGACACAATTTGTTCTGATCCTCCCCTATCTGGCCACAAGATAATTATTGCAGTTATTTCCATGCAGACACTGCTGATTGTTAACATGGACACATTTGAAAATAACTTCCTTTTTTTAATATAGAAATGAATTACATACTTGGGCTAAATATCTCGTGGCCACAAGATAGTAATGTGTGGCTATGAGATATGTGTTTTTTTAACCAATGTCACCGGACAAGCACAGTAAACTCGAAATTATATAAAGTACTTTATATTTATGTGTTCCCAGGTATTTTAAGCAGATTGCAAAGTCAGTTCGTTCTAATGGATCATCATCATCAGGCTCAGAGGAAAATGCTGATGACTTCCTTGGATGCATCAACATTCCTTTGAATGTGAGCAAAACCAAAACAGATTTTACAAATAGACAAAAAAAAAAAAACAACAGATAAGATTTTTTTATATTAAATATTAACATTAATCACACTGGTTCCTTCTTGCAGGAGATCCCGGTTGTTGGCTATGACACCTGGTTTAAACTGGAGCCTCGATCAAGTGCGTCTAAAGTTCAGGGAGAATGTCACCTGATTCTGAAATGCTTCACCAGCCAGGTATTTTCATGCACAATATTTCCTCTCGTCCACCTGCACGTAGACCGCCTTGTAATGTTTGCTTTACCTTCAGAGGGACACAGCTTTATCTAAGAGGGACACAAACGTCTCCATCCACAAGAAACTGCTTAGTCAGATTGTGGAGTACGAGCATGCTCAAGTGAAGGTGAGTTAAATCCTATTTTTCATAAAAAAATGTGTTTTAGTTTTTTTAATTCAGTGCTAATGCATTTAGCCAGCTTACTTAAAGCAGGTCATTTTAACCCAGGTTGGGTGTTCGGGTTAGTCTGATCCACTCCCAGTATTTACTGACAAAATGAAGCCCGTTGACATGTAGAACATGTTTTCACCGGGTGCACTACTTTCCGCCTCTCATTTCTTACATGAGTCATGAGATGTTCAGGGTCAGTTTGACCTCGGAGTGTTTGTGAAAACGAAAAAAAAAAAAAGTACACGGTGAAAAGGAAATATCCCTTTATCTCCAACGGATGTGCGTTTGCTCTAAATGAGCCTGTGCCTGTGTTACTGTGCAACATTTACTGATTAACATATAAACAACCTCATTTTACAAGAGCTTTTTGAATTTATTTTCAAATATATTAGGACACCCCCCCACACACACACACACACTTCCTGAAATGTATTATTAGTCTGTTTTTTTTCCTTTTGTTGCACCAGACAGCTGTTGCAATAGTTCCATGTTAGCTGTAACATTTTATTGAGGTAGTCTCTAATTCAAAACATAACATTTTTCATATTTGAAGCCACGCTGTGAAAGATTAAAAAAAATTTAAAAAAATGTGAGCAGAGCTTTTCAATTTCAACACAGTTCGGCTACAGCTACTTTATGTTTTGTATTATTGTTACTGTTTGTCACCAAATACAAAAAGGCACTGGTGTGTTTGCCTACATCAGGGTGTGTCTGAGTTTGTTGGTCTGTTGTGTTAGCAAAATATCTCATGAGCTTATYCATTTAAAGCAAACCGACCATACACAAAACTGGTGTACTCGGAGAGCTAACTGAATGTGCAAGATCCCTTTGTAAAACTCTACTTTTAGCTAATGTAATGTTAGCAAAAATTTCATAAATACTGGACACTGGAAGAACTTTAACGCAGATTTCAGAAAGTAATCACTGGATTTGCATCTGCTGTTGATTAACACTTAGAAACACAATGCAAAAAATGTCCACCTAACTAAGTTTTAAAACATTACAGTATATCCAGCCAAAATGTCTTTTTCATCTAGTTTTGAGACTGATTTACTAAACAAGAACTGATTGTGTAAGAATAATMATCTTGTTTTCAGAATGTGTAAGATTATTTGTCTTGTTAGTCTGAAAATTTGACTCAAATTAAGTCAAAAATCTCTTCCAATGCAGTAAGAAAATTTTACTTGGTAAGATTCTTGAAATAAGAAAAAATTGAGTCAAATCAAGTATTTCAAGAATCTTACCAAGAAAAATGTTCTTACTCCATTGGCAGAAMGKTTTGACTTAATTTGAGTCAAATTTTCAAACTAACAAGACAAATAATCTTACACATTCTGAAAACAAGATTATTATTCTTACACAATCAGTTCTTGTTTAGTAAATCAGTCTCAAAACAAGATCAAAAAGACTTTTTGGCTGAATTTAAGATTTTAAAACTTGGCAAGATGGACAGTTTTTGCAGTGTTAAACACTACTGGCCAACACAAAATAGGCTATAATTTAGCCCATTTTAAAGATATTGAGGTAAAATCTGTTGTGATAGTAGCTGAGAGTCATTCACAACTCATGAGGCAACAGATTGTGMATTGCACATTTTTATTTATGCCGGTTTCACACGGCAAGATAATTAGGCAGATTTTTGCCTGATTTTGCCCTTCGTCAATCTTAAGCTCRGCTCTAAAAATAATTCTAGGAGATATTTCTGCTCTRTGTTCAGAGTGATYTAGTCRTCTCAAAAGGGCGTCAAGACCGCTTTGACCTTGAATCGGTGATATTTAACAAGTTGGATTGTCTTGGCTTCATACCCCAGTGTGTGTGGTGTTCCCCGAGGACAAATAAATTCRAAGCCTGATGAATGTGACGTGTAGCCAATCAGAAAGCAAGGAGAAGAAAACGCRGAGGGGAATCGAAAAYACAGAAGACAAAACAACTGCCACRGMGCACCAGGAAGTCTGRTGGATGTCGGAGACATCTTTYGGTTTTGTTCTTTCKTGGTKGAAAATATWGTCCACAAACTATCRCCATTGCTTCCTCGTCGGCCATGTTTGTTTTCTCTGAGCTCACGTTTGATCTCAAGAGTTCCTGCAGGATTTTCTGCCTGATATCTGAATGTTCGTTAGTAAAATCTGCAGTAGTGTGTTGTCTTCTGCCATGGAGGTGTCCACCACACACTGTCGGACCAAACATGTTATAGCTATGATTTTTTTTTATTGTTGCGTGTGGAGTCTCAGTCTTTGTAAATCAGCCGACTATTTTAAAATCTTGTGAACCAGGCATACATTTGACCAACGCATAATTCCTTAACCTATTGAAATGTAGTGGGCTAAATGCATTCTTTAAAGAAATACAGGAGYTTTAATGTAACTAATGGCATTTATACCATTACAAATAAATCTTCTGATTCTGATTGAAGTGTTGCTGAAGCTAAATTGTCGYCTTCTATTTGAAATTCTAGAGAGAGCCGTACAACTGGAACGGGCAGGTTTCTCCTCCTGCATGGACGGTACTAACTCACCACGCTGTGCAAACGGATCTGTCACCTCTGCAGCAGGCAATTGTGTAGGTATTARTGACGGAATCAAATTGATTAAATCAAATCTGAGAGCTGCAGCATCGGATGGAAGGTGCATATTTGTCTCCCCCCACCATCCCACAGACGCTGGCAGTGCTACAGCAGCCACCATCGGAACCAGAGGGTGTGCTACTCCCTGCTGCTGCGCCTCCTGAGGACCATCGATGCAGAGTGGGATCCTCCCGCTGTGAGGGGTGACCTGGTAGGTTCTACATTATCGGCTTCCAGATAGAAGACAAAAAAAAACTTTCATTGCCTAGAAACAATCACCTCATTAGCTCAGCCCTTCACTGGCATTCATCAAGGTTTTTGGTTCAGCCAAAAATGTCTCAGCGCCGGTGTACCGGAAGCTATAACAGAAGGCCCTTCCTGTGTCCAGGAGAGGCAGCTATCAGACAGCTTCAGGCTGTACACAGAGCACTGCCTGTGCCTGATGAAGAACATGCGTCAGGTTTTCCCCTGCACCAGCGCCGCTGCCATTACACGCTACGAGCTCATGCTGAGGTAAAGTCACACCTCCATCGCATCCTGCTGTAAACCCGCGCTGCCATACCGAGAACACGTTCGACCTTTCACCTCCACAAACACAGAGCGACTACAAGCAGTCAGTCCMACTCTGTGGAGGCAGCAGTAATATCACAGCATATTACAAAAAAAACAGTCACCTGACCATTTCTCATAATTCATGCCAAAAAAAATAGTGATCATTTCTTCACTACTGAAGCTTCTCAAATCCTAAATCATGATCAGCCGAAATGGAGGTTTCACTGCAAAAACTGTCCATCTAACAAAGTTTTAAAATCTTACATCGAGCCAAAAAAATCTTTTATATCTTGTTTTGAGACTGATTTACTAAACAAGAACTGATTGTGTAAGAATAATAATCTTGTTTTCATAATGTGTAAGATTATTTGTCCTGGTAGCC